GGATGTGGGCCCAGATTTGCGGCCTCACTCACCTGCCACTCTGGGTCACCATGGACTTGACATTTCATAAACAAAAGACGCTTTGTGGAAAGCCAAGATCATACTGTATTCACTAGAACTGAGATAGCCTCCATCTTTACCTCCCTGTTCTCCCTCAAACCTCCACATAAATCTTCAAGCAAATCTGTGATGTGTAACTGACAAATACCCAGATAGAACCTGACTGAAATCTCAGTTACTTATGACATCAAAAACCAAGTTCAAGTTCACTGCAAAAATTAAACCCATGGGCCTGTACCCCAGGAAAAGCTAAAAGGTCATTTGGAAACCCCAAAAGACTGTGATCCTCAAACTACAGTCATTCACTACGTCTCTTAGGCAGCCTCATCTACAAAATGGGTGTGCCAAATCCGAGGGCCAGAGGTATTTTATGAGAGCTGATTACATGTGAAAAATAGCCAAACTTCCTTGAAAGAGATTTCCTAGAAAATACAAGCTTTTGTTTTTTTTACCTCCCAACGATGCTTTAATTGACACTTCAAGGAGAATAAAAATAATAATAAAAATCAAAGACAAGAGCCCCCTGCTTTGCTCTTCTCTGTTTTCTCTTTCGTCCTTTTCACCCAACTATTTCTGGAGCCCACAGCTAATAATAAACGATGTGCATTGACTAACCTTCTTCACTTCCCCCGAGCGAGGACACAGAGCAACTCTATTTAGGATAACATCTCCTTTGCAGAATACATCCCAAAGCTTCCTGGAGTTAAATAATAAGAAATGGAAGAGAGATAGCAGGAGAGAAATTAAGAGGTGAAGAAAGAGGCACAGCGCTCCTTCTTCAGCCGAGATTTGACAAGCCTGGGTAACTAGAGCCGCAGTGCACAGCACACTGGGGAGAAAAGAGCCACGCTTGGAGGATGTTGCTGTCGTGGCACATCGCAAAAGCCATCTTTGGCTGAGCAGATGATGCTACAGGAGCATAGCTCACCTACCTAATCCTGTGTACACAGAAGCAGCCATGATCCACCAGCGACCTGTCCCCAGAATTCATTATACTTCTAGGCTGCAAGTTGTGAAAGCTATGGGCCCAGTGACCTTTTCTACTCTGGAGAACTTAGGAAGAGAAGTGTATGCGTGGAAATCATTCAGAGTATTCTCTAAATACTTTCAGCTCTCCACCTTCCAGGCATACAGTGAGGTGGCATTTCTCTGTCCCCTTTGAAGGCAGAGCACGTCATGTTCCTTGGCCAATGCCAGACAAGCAGAAGTGACATGTCACTTCCCAGTGGAAGCTTGAAGAGCCAGTGTGCAATGTGCCAGGTTTCTGTCCCACTGCTCTGGTGACCATCGGAGTATGATGAGGCCTCTATCAGTCTGGATCCCTGGGTGGCATTCATGAATGGGGCATCTTTTGGATGCACAAGGGACAGCTGGTGTAAGCAAGACCCTGTGCTATCGTGACCCCCAAGAGTGAGTATCCCCTTCAATTTGTGTGCTAAGCACTTCACTTGCCTCGCTGGCCCTGAGCAAGAATTAAGCTCTTTTTGTGTTAAGATACTGAGATTTTGGGGGGCGGGGAGGGAAGTACTTGTCACTGCAGCGCTCTACAGCCCATTCTGACTGGTGACACGTGCCTGTCTCAGAGTGGGAGAGGAGCACAGACAGACTCCAGCCTTGGGCCTGAGCTTTCCACGATGCAGATGCCCCAGCTCTAGAATCCCTTTCATTGTGATTCATAAGGAAGCCGTGATGTGTGGGAAAATAAAATCATACTAAGTAATCAAATTCAGTGAACTGACAGATCTTCCTGTAGGTGAGGGCATGGCCAGAAGAATAAAAAATGAGCAAGGTAACAAGATGATCAGGGATTGTCCCAGGGCAGGGCGATTGTATACAAATGGCAAGTAAAAAGGGAAACAGGCTGCTCAAGATTTGGATCAAATGCCCACTCTGCTCTTCGCAGGGTCCATTACAAGTAGTAAAATTCCACCCTGGCTGGTGTGGCTCAGTAGATTGAGCACGGGCCTGCGAACCACAGGGTCACTGGTTGGATTCCCAGACAGGGCACATGCGTGGATTGCGGGCCAGGTCCCCAGTAGCGGGCACTTAAGAGGCAGCCACACATGGATGTTTCTCTCCCTCTCTTTCTCCCTCCCTTCCCCTCTCTCTAAAAAATAAATAAATAAAATCTTATAAAATGTTTAAAATAAAAAAGTGGTAAAATTCCACTTATAACGTTCACACAGATCTTCCACAAATTTACCTGCTGGGGTCAAATCAAGCTCTCTGTGTACATAGCCCATAATACTCTTTATTGCCGTAGATGCCGGCTTAAGAGCATTGCATTTGTCTTCAAAATAATGACCTCGTTGAGCGCCATGTGGCCCAAAGTTGGATTCTTTGGGCTCACAGAACCGTGATGAGCTTTCAGACCTTTTCTTGAAAATCAAACTAACTTCCCCTCGCTGCAAACCTTTAGATACCACCTATAATTAGGATGATTGGCATATCCCGCAGCCTCGGGCTGGAAGATTGCTCAGGTGCTTGGAGAGTGGGCCTAATACAGCCAAGACCGAGCTCAAGCCCAGGTGGGCCAGTTAGCTTCACACAGAGAAAATCCTTCAGAGCCACAAACTACGCCCACCTTTGGGGTCTCAAGACAAATCCTGTCAAATTAGCCTCAAAGGAGCCTGGATGAGCACGTCGATCGCTCCCCGCAACCCATTATTGCTAATAGAAAAATAAATCCTAACACTCTTCTTATTGGTTACATCGTCTCTCCAGGGTCCTGCCGAATAACACGCTTGCTTTCAGACATGCTTCTGGCAAAAATATTATTACTTTCTAACTGAATAAATACCCACAAAGGAGCTTCATTTCAGCATAGGTCCCAAACACCTTTTTTTTAACCGTTATGTCAATTGAGCCCTTTCTCCTGAGTTCTGAACCCAGTAGGTGCTGTCCTGCAGGGCCCCATCTGTTGGGTGTCCCAGGACTCACACGGTTCCCTCCTCATCACCTGCTTGGCCTCCTGTGTTGCCAGTCTCGAGAATGGTGAATCGGAGCCTGAAATTTGGGAGTCCCAGATTCCTCTCTTTCCCTCATCACCCACCCCCATCTTCAAAGCCTATTGACTTTCCACCTCCATCACAGTTGCACCCCACCCTTCCTCTCCATTTCCCTTGCCCCTGCCCCACTCCATGCCTTGTCTTCTCATGCTATATCATTACAGAAGAGTCTGTCGAATGTTCTCCTTCTCTGCAGTCTTATGCCCCACTAGTCTACCGCTCACTCGGGCCAAAGTCATCTGTCAGGTCAGAATCTGATTTTGACTCTCCCCTGTTTTCCAAAGTCCCAAGTGCCCCACTGGGGAGAGAATGAACCCAGAGCCAGGCTCCTGGACTTCCACATTTCTCTGGGAATGCCTAGATGCAGGGAAAGCAGAGCTAGTCAGGCTCCCTCTCCCGGATCGTCCAGGAGACTGTGCCCTAGGCTGCGTTCATGTGGCCTTGAGTAAAGAGCCGTGTGTAGAATGAAGCTCTGTTATACAACTGAAGGTCAGTATTTGTGTGCACTCAGTATATAAGGGAGTTGGGACTTCCCACAGTACAACACACGGCTTCCAGTGTGCGTGGATCACCCCACCCCGGAATAAGGCCTGTCAGATATCCCAATGGCTCCCTGAATTTTCTTCCGTCTGCCCAAATCCATTGTGAACTTGCCTGGCCTTGAACAGCTGCAGAACACTAGAGCTCCCCTTTGCATTCACACATCATCCATCACAAACTGCTTGTACTTTTCTGTTCATGCCCCACAGGTCCACACCTCCGTGCCTTCAGCGCACCTGGGGTCACTAACTGACCTCCAAGTTCTGCCTGGGGAATTTCTACTCCTCATCTCCTTCATCCCTGCCCTTCCTCTGTGAACCTGTTGCGCTGGCAAAACTTTGTGAGCCTGTGTTTCAGTGATCCGCTGCTGCACATCAGCCCCTTCTCCTGCAAAGCCTAATGGTTTCAGACAACCACCATTTTATTGCCGGCCAGAATTCTGCGGGTGGGTGGCTGCAGTGCCGCGGCTATCCTGCTCCTGGGGAGGTCAGCTGGGGCCGAGGTGGGTCATCTGGAATGTCTCAAATGGCTCGCCCACGTGGCTGGCAGTTGGTGTCGGCCACTGTCTGGGAACTCTGCCTCTTTTCACTTCCTCCGTGTGGTGTGCTTTTCTCACAGCATGGTGGCTGGATTCAGAGGGGGCAACTAGAAGAGTGAAGTTTCTGAGTGGAAGGAAGAAAATTTCCAGCTGCTTCAGTGGCGAGGATGGCTCTGGCAGTCCCAACCAGGCCAAAAGAGGGCCACCGCCCCAGCCTGAGGGGAGGCAGCCTGCCAACAGGACCCCCTACCCAGGCCGAGGGCGAAAACCTACCAAACTCTCAGGCTCCAGCCCCAGAAGAAGTCACGACTGTAGCTTGAGGAGCCATATTCCTGCTCTCCGGGCATCCAAGGCAAACTCTATAAACCAAGATCTGAGACCTTCTCTGTGGGACACTGCCAGCCCCACTTGGGGAAGAGCGCACGCAGCCGTCACCCAGTTCTAACTTAGTAGAGGCTTTTGTCACCAGCCAGGTGGACTCCCAGGGCCCCTGGGACACAGGGGATGGGTGTTCTGGGGCAGCTCCTGGGCATCTTTTGCAGCCGGCCACCCCTTCCCCTTCCCCCACGGGCTTTTGCACACGATGCGTGGCAGGAGCCAGATAAAGAGTTCCTCGCGCACCAAGCGGAGGCCGGCAAGGCCGTGGGACTGTCCCACCACGGCCCCAGCACACCAGATAAGGGCCGTGGCAGGAGGGAGCTGGGGTGCAAGGGTACACAAGAGGGGATGGGAGAGGCACACAGGGCTTTCCTCGAAAGTGTGTCCCGAGAGCACCTGGCACGCAGCTTCCAGGGCTCACTAGGCAGAGCATCTGCGCACGGCTTCCTGACACAGAACGGGGCACGCTGGGCCATATGAAGGCCACAGATAAGCAGCATCTGTTGGACACCACACCGAGAGCCGGTCTTACACTGGGTCTCTTGTGGCAGGATGGTGCTGGCTGGATTTCTGTGTCCCCACCTGACTCGGAGTTGCCATCCATTGAACTGTCCATGGACAGCAACCATTACTGTCACTCGCAGAAGGGTCCTGGCAGTCACTGTGACCCCAAGAAGGAGTGGGTGTGTCGCCAGCTCTGTGTGGCCTCTGCCATCTGCCCAATGTTCATGATTGGGGAAACTATTTGGATGGTACCTAGCACATAGTTTGGCGACCATGACTGATGCAGCCCATCCACTCACTGGCTTTGCCAGCATACTCATCAGCCTCTTCTCTGTCTAGATGTCCTCCTGCCAGCCACCAAGGCCATGAAGTTCGGCTGGCAGCGAGCTGAGATCCTGGGAGCCCTGCTCTCTGTGCTGTCCATTTGGCTCATGACTGGGGTACTGGGGTACCTGGCAGTGGAGCAGCTGATCTCTGGGAACTATGAGATGGAGGGCAGGACCATGCTGATAACAGCAGGCTGCGCTGTGGCCGTGAACATCGTAATGGGGTTGACTCTTCACCAGTCTGGCCACCGGCGTAGACATGGCGCCAGCCAGCAGCAGGGGAACCCCAGTGTCTGAGCTGCCTTTATCCACATGATAGGAGGCTCGCTGCAGAGCTTGGGCATCCTGGTGGCAGCCTAAATTTTATACTTCAAGCCACAGTACAAGTGTGTAGACCTCATCTGCACCTTCCTCTTTTCCATCCTGGGCCTGGGGACAACTGTGACCATCCTGAGAGACATGATCCTGGTGCTAATGGAGGGGACAGCCAAGGGCGTGGACTTCACGGCTGTTCGGGATCTGCTACTGTCAGTGGAAGGGGTGGAAGCCTCGGGCAGCCTGGATATCTGGGTGCTAACTGTAGCTCAGCCTATGCTGTCTGTCCACATCACCATCTCTCAGAATGCAGATGCCCAGGCTGTGCTGAAGGCAGCCAGTGCCCGCCTACAGGGGCAGTTCCACTTTCACAACATAACCATGCAGATAGAGGACAACTCTGAGGAAAAGAAGGACTGTCAGGCATGCCAGGGCCCCTCAGACTGACTGCCCGGCCAGGTGCCAACTGGAGCACAGACAGGACCCGCAAACGGCAGGGCTGAGGGTCCCTCAAGCCCAGCCAGGACTCCATTTACCTTGGCTGTTAAAACCAGATCCCTCTCCTGATCTCAGCTCCATGTTCAGTGTGGAGGAGCCTTGCCCGCTGCACGAACGAGGCTCTTCCCCTGCGTCTCCCATCTGACTACAGCCAGCCCCACGATGGGAACTCAGCCAGGGTAAAGCTAGCACAACCCGACTCCTCCGGCTCCTGGGTCAGTTCCTCTCGGGGCTAGGTTTGCACCTAACCCCCAGCCAGTGCTGTCTTACCACCAGCCTCAAGGAAAGGCGGCGAGGCACACTGAGGGGTGCTGGAGGGGAGCCTGGCCTCGGCGTCCCCTGCCCACAGGCCGCATTTCCCTTTTCTAGTCTGTCTGGCCTTTGCCTTATGGATCTGCAAAGCAGCCCTGGGACAGAGCCCCCGACCCTGCCTCTAACAATGATCTGATTTAAGGAGGCCATGGGGTTTGGGGAACTGTGACACAGGCTAGTGAGCCAGGGGCAAGTGGACTAGGGAAACTGAGACAGAGTTAAATGGCCAGGCCACTTATGGCCATCTCGTAAACCACAAAATCCTATCCTCACCAGCCAAGGATGCGTAAGAGTAAATGGTTTACACTTCTCCCCAACCAGAGAGGAAATATGTAGCTTAAACCACCTTACTCAGGGAGACAGATAATAAAAATCCAGTTATGGCCATTTGTGCCAACACACACATGGACAGACAGATAAAGTCACGGGGAATCAATCTCATTTTGGTGCATCAACATAAAACTGGTGAATATTCTATTGAGATCCCCCCCTAAGATCTCCCCTGAACTCCTAGCCTTTAAAGCTCTCAGGATGGCCCTGGCCAGGCGGCTCGGTTGTTGGGGCGTCATCCTGTACACCAAAAGTTTGGGGGCTTCGTTCCCGGTCAGGGCACATCCCTGGGTTGTGGGTTTGAGCCAACTGATGTTTCTCTTTCACATAGGTGTTTCTTTCTCTCCCTTCCACTCTCTCTGAAATCAATAAACATACTTTTAAAATTAAAAAACCCCTCAAGATGAAGAACCAGTGTGCCTATGCCTTCCCCTTCCCCTTCTTCTCCCCCCACCCCCAGAGGTGCGTTACCTCTGCCTTTCTCCTAAGCTTCAAGGGCCCTTCTACCTCTGTAACTTTTTAAATAAACTTTCTCCTATGATTTGAAAAAAAAAGAAAGAAAAATTTCTGCCCATCTTCTTGGAAGTCTCAGAATGCCACTTCCACCACATTGTATTGGTCAAGGCAGTCACTGGCCAGGAAAAATAAGTGCCGACTCTATAAACGAGGAGCAGCGCGCTCAGACAGAGAAGGAACGGGTTGTTGGGGCCATCTTTGGAGATTGGCTACCACACCCCGGCTTGGCAGCTTGTTTGGTTTGTGCTCAGTCTGTCCCTAAAATCCTGAAAGCCTCCTGAGGATAGCCACCACGTTTGAATCCTGTATTTGCCCACAGTGCTTAGTACAGATCCTAGAACAGGCTACTTAGATGCTTCACACGTGTTTGCTGACTCCAGCAATCCAATTAAATCTGATGAAATCTGACCAAAGTTTTTGAGCTCCTATTTTGTGCTACTCTATTTTTTAAATTTTATTTTTAGAGAAGGAAAAGGAGGGAGAGAAACATGAATGTGTGGTTGCCTCTCACATACCCCCTGCTGGGGATCTGGCCCACAACCCAGTCATGTGCCCTGACTGGGAGTTGAATCGGCGACCCTTTGGTTCACAGGCCAGCACCCAATCCACTGAGCCACACCAGCCAAGGCTACATAATTTTTTTAGAAAAATAACTAGGAGAGTGCCCTAGCCAGTGTGGCTCCGTGGGTTGTATCATCCCATGCACCGAAGGGTTGTAGGTTTGATTCCTGGTCAGGGCACATACCTGGGTTGCAGGTTTGATCCTCAGCCAGGATGCCTGCAGGAGGCAGCCAATCAATGTTTCTCTCTCACATCAGTGTTTCTCTCTTTCTCTCTCTCCCTGCCCCATCCCTCCTCCCAATCTAAAAGCAATGGGGAAAAAATGTCCTCAGGTAAGGATAGGAAAAAACTAGGAGAAGTAGATAAAGCATGCATGGCAAAGGTTATATTTCTCACTGAATACCTCATGTTTTTGCCTGCATCTCCCAGCTTCTGTTGAAGTTACTTTGGGCTGAAATGCTACGACTTCTTGTCCAAGGCAATAAAGAAAAAGTGGGAGGTCTCCAGGCTTCTCCTTTTCCTTCGGTGCAGTGGGAAGGGAAGCATTCTCAGATGATTAGACTGCAGGATGGAGTTGAGCCTGCATCTGTAAGTTAACCATTGGTGAAGGGCCATGGAAGAGAGTCATCTTCCCTGCCTCAGACTGTGAAGTGAGCAAGAAATATACATCTTGTCTTCAGCCATTGAGATTTTTAGGTTTTGTTTGCTGCTGTAGCCTAGCTTACTGTGTCCTATTCTACCAAATGTTCTCTAGGAAAGAATTGAATGTCACATCCGAAAAATTATTTATCCTCTATTTAGGAAAGAGAACCAGCAGATGAACTTTTAAAATACACTTCTGGCTATCTGCAATTGAGGGTTATGCTTTCCTGCCTAGGCGCCAATAATTAAGAGGTGTCTAATCAGATAGCATCTGCAATCCCTTATCTACATGGAGTGGACTCACGTATGCAGTGCTGTGCAGAACACTCTGCAGAAGCTGAAATCCTGGGCGCTAGAAGGTGAGCACTGGAGGACAAAGGCTGCTGTGAAATAAACAGGTAATCCTCAAACCTTATGAAATCAACATCTTCCCTAGCCAGACTTTTTAATGGGGCTCCTAACAAGTAGAAAATGACTCTCCCTGCTTCTGCTTTTGCGCTCCTTTCTCACTGGCCTGCCAATTTGATAAGAGGTAACCAAGGAGTCCCCCATCTCAGGAAACAAGGGAGCCAGGGGCCAGAGAAATCCACAGGCTAGACACCTGAAGCCTGAACCTTGGCTGGCAGCTCCACTGAAGCCATTATTCTGTTGCCTGAGCCTGTCCTAGATGAGATCCTTTATTTCTTCCATCAGCTCCATTTCTTCTCTGGCCTGAAGGGATGCATAGCTGCATACTAGTTTCTGGGGCCTCATGAATTTCTTACACTGTGCTTTAGACTTGAGCCAAAGAACACCTGTTCTTTGGATTCAGTTCCTCTGAAGGGAGGAGTGTTTGCAGAAGGCCTAGCTGAGAGTGGTCTTACCACACTCAGGGAGCAAAATCTATAAAATGAAAATAGGTTTGCTTCTTAATTTTCTGCCCTGAGGAGAGGAAAGCAATAGATTTGCCTCTTAAGTTTCTGCCCTGAGGTGAGGGTAAATCCCCCAGCCTCACTCTCCCTTGCCCTAACACGTCCTGCCAGTGCCATTGGCTGAACCCAAACAGAAGCAGAGGACAAAGAGGCAGGTGGATGCTGTCGACAGAGGTCAGCCTCCAGGGCTAAGAGTAAGATGAAGAACGAAGAAGGACAGAGAACAATACTGGAGAGGCAAATGGAGGATATCCGGCACACTGAATAATATTGAAAGGTTGTAAGTTTAAAGAAAATTTATATTTAACTGAACTCTACTATCAGTCATCAACTTAAACACATCAATACATACGATGGACATGTTCAAGTTTAGAGGCCTTGCCTTTGGCCCTCAAGGTAGCAATGCCCCTTTATATCCTCAAATCAGAACACAGAGGAAGTAAAGATGGGAAGGAGCATTCTCCTCTTCAGAATACAATGTTGGTGGGTGTTCCAGGTGCCTTATTAGCACCTAACCAAACAGAAACCAGTACGAAACTTTCCTGTGGCCTTTGTGCTAAAATGATGCCTGTTGGTGGAGCCAACCAGATCGCATTAGAGCTTCCTTACTTCTGATCACCAGCGGGAAGGTAGAGCCCGTGGCCCAGTTCTGAATACCCCACACCCTCAGTATTTGTGGGTCCCCACAGCCCTTTCAGTGGTATGACTCAGGGAATACAAAAGTGCTGATGAAGGATCCTTTCTCCCGGTTCTAAAAGCTCATGTTTGTACCTCCTTTCAGGGTCCATTTTACCCACCTGGAGCATCTCAGCCTGTCAGATTGCCCTGTGAATCTGTCAGTCCTCCACTCTGCAAATTGCCGTTGACTACTTTCCCTGCCTGGGAGCTCTTGCCATTCCCCTCCCTCGTTCTCAGCTGCTTTTGGTTTTCTATGGGTCTTCACTGGTCACGCCTGGTTCTCCATCCTCTCTGATGTGCACGGGGTCAGCCTCGGCCCCACAGTGGCTACAGTGTTGTGCCGATGGGGTCCCTCCTGTGGCCTGCTCTCCAGATGCCCCCCCTTCCTCCGCTGGTTTGCATTGGTTTCCTGCTTTCCCAGAGCATCTCCTGCCTCCTTCTCCTCCGAGATGCTATCCTTCTGGTCCCATCTGGTCAGGAATTCTATGCCTTTACTTCCCACATGCTTTCCTAGAATCCCATCTCTGGTGAACAGTCCATAAATGTGTGTGATGCAGTAAGCACAACTGTAGGGTTTGAGTGTGTTCCCAGTAGGGCTGGGATGAGACTAAGGAATGATAGAGGATTATTAAAGATAAATAAAGTAAAATCATGACTATAGTGTAAAAATTAAATAAATACTTGTCAAAGATTTTATTTCACTCAATAATTAATGAGGAAACCAGTGAGATGTCACAAATGGTTCAAAGAAAATTTCTAAGAGCCAGGCACTGAGAAATGTGGAGATGGATGCACAGATAGATGTAAAATGAGTCCAAAATAAGTTGCCTTCCACCAGACACAATTCATTTGCATTCCCAGAGACAAGAATCATTTGCATTATTAGTTTTCCACAAATTACAGAGTTATACAATGACTCAAAATCAGTGAAGGCTGCTCTTAAAACGACACCCTGTAAACTTTTTCTTTGCCAAATTTAAAGTCTTTCGCGATTTCGCC